GTGTGCAGACCCCAGTTGATGATGTTAAAGTTGATTAGTAACTGTTAGTTATTTATCTTTCAGCTCTATACAGCAGAAATGATTTGAAATTAGAGTTAAGTTGTTTAAGTTTGAATTTGTTAACTGCCACAATGTGTCTAAAGGTGCTTGTGGATATAGTAGCCAATAAATTTGCACATGTGTATAAATGACAAATATTTATTTTGAATTTTGCAGATGATATTAATTATACAAAATGAAAACATTCATAGGAACATTATATGTACACTAACAAGCTAAAATTAAAATAACAAGATAAAATGATGTGCAGACATAAGAAAAGACACATGATTTCTACAGATAAGAAAATTGAGTGAATAAGAAAAGATGCATGATTTCTACAGATAAGGAAAATAAGTGAAGAAAAATCATACAAATGATTACTACAGATACAAAAATCAAGCAAAGAAAGAAAACACAAATGATTATTACAAATAAGGTAACTGAGTTGATAAGCACACTAGTATACATATAATATTGAGCAAGTTTTATATGGAAGTTACCAAATGTTCTGAAATAGTTCACTTCTGTTTGAATGAACGACCCTGTCTTGGACACTCTAGTTTATAAGATGGTAGCCACCTTGATGAATCTACATTGCCATTAAGTGACAGAAGTGGCGCACAATTAGAAGCTTGTGCAATTAGAAGCATCTGAGCTAAAAATGACCTAAAAAAATGTACAGATAGATACTGCCATTTGGATTTCAATGGTTAAGCTTTTACATATTCTCCTTCTTTTGTTTGCTTGAAATAAATTATCTATATCTGCAATGCTGTCTCTAGTATGAACTTCACTGTCTGTTTCTAACCATGGCATAGTTTAGGTAGGGCGGCCAGTTTCTTCACTACCTTTCTTTCACAGACAATTTCTAAAACATCCTACAAGTTTTTTAGGTAATAGTAAGCCAATGACTCAATTTATGCTACTGGTACATCAGGAATATATGCAGCAGAATGTGAATTATGAAATGTATTCATAAACATCTCAGCCGCAGAACCACACATTGTTTTGTTATAGCCTTTTACAACAAATATATAAGGGAAACATTGTTAAGCTTCCTGGGTGAGTGTGTGGCCATGTACATGCACTATATACGTGTTTGTGTGCCCGCATGTATAGGTTTGTGTATAATGAATAATGCAAAAGGTATGTTTGCGTGCCCGTAAATACATGCATAAAACAATTTGTATGCACAGAGCCCCAGTCAGAAAACAATGAACTAGTCTGCCAGCCTAGCAGTTTCTGGATCACATCCACTATAAGTTAAAAACTTGTCCTTACCACAAAACTTTAGCATTAACCTCAGATAAAATGCATGCTAGAACAAATTTCTAAATGACCCATGGCTGTTTGGATGTTGACCACTTCCTCTTTGCTGTCATTTGATTAAAAAAAAAGGGCTTTATAACATATTTTCAGTATACCAAAATAGAATGAAAAGTAAGTTCATTATCTTGTTTGATATACCAACATGTACGTGTGTATCCTCACACACATGCGCTTCTGAACATACTCATGAGTGTGTGTATGTGTGTGTGTGTATTGAAAGCATACATAACTGTGACTGATTGATTTATAAATAACTGTGATTTATTTATTTATTTCAGTAATCAACACTTAGGTTTGTAACTTCTGGTTTGTAACTATTTTCACAAGGGAAAGCCATGAACAGTCTGTGTGGCTGTGGATGACACAGGAACAGAGCAACTGTAGGGTGACCTCTTTGCATTGAAGTTGGAATGTGATTACCTGATTACCAGAACACCACTGTGTATACCGCAGTAAATGTTACAAGGTGTCATTTTCAACTGTTCCAGTAGTTCAGTGGTTGTGCACTTGCAGTATTGTTTGTTCTTCTCATACATCCCTCCTTGCCAGACCCATTCTCAACTTCACATTCTAGATATGCTATGCATAATTATTTACTTAGTGATAAATGTACCTCAGTATCTATTTGAAGTAAGAGCTTCCTTTTCTCGTTTGCCAGAGAATAATCCCACTAATTCATTACAAATCAAACATGTCCATGAAAAATTATTTTAAAAAAACATGTATGAAATGCAATAGAATTAATCTAAATTGATATATCAAAACATAAGTGACAAAAAAGTAATAGAAAGATGCAAATACATATATGAAACAATAAGGTTTAATACCAATCCAACTGTTTAAATGATCACAGGATTATTTTAAGTGATCGACATACATTTTCAAAATCAGAACTCAAATTTCCTGTGATTAAAGAAAAAAAGATACAAAATATCAGAACATTTATGTACATATTTTGAGAACTGAAAACATTTATTCTCTTTCAACCTCAGACAATGCATATTGTGAAAATGCATGCTATCACATAATACGTTCTACAATTTTTCTACTTGGACAGATCATACTAAAGAAATCTAGCATCTCTATTACTTACTTTTACATCTTCTATGAAACGGACATACTTATAATATATTGTTTTAACCTGGTCATATTCCTGTATTTAAGATCTAAGAAGAAACTTTATATGTCTAACACTCTGTTCTCTTATAAATAAAAGATATATTGCTGAGATCACTGTGTTCATGCTACTTTCAAGATTTCAGGGTATCATATGTTGTATGGTAGTTTATGACTTTAATTAATTCTATGCGTAGTTGGCTAAACCGGATTGCGTCCGGGTTCACGTCCGGGGGTAGGCAGAAAAGCCACATTTCTCCCAGAATTACAGTATTTATTATGGAATCAAGTCCGAAGGGTTGTGATATCCATAATACCGAGCCTAAGGGTTAACAACTCATGGCTTCTGGATACTAAAAAAAATATATTTAATAATTCCACCTGATTACAAGGGAAATCACCAGGCCAGCAGCACCCTGCATGTGTCCCTGCCAGTCAGGTATCATCATTAGCAATTTCAACTTTTGACATTAAGCCTCATTGGAAGAGAAAGTTAGCGACTAGTAGCTTGATGAGTAGCAATGGTGATTGTCATTCTGTGCCAGTGTAGAAGGCCTTTAATGCAGTCAGGTGATCATGTGTTTAAATCCCTTTCTAGGCGAAACAATTTAAAAAAAACACATAAACTTGGGCTAACAAGTTGACCAAGGGTAAAATGAGTAGCATCAACTGTTCAGGGAAATAAAAGTGGCTGAAATTATTTTACACATCTCCCATTGAGTGCTAACTGGTGAAAAGGGTAATAGTAAATGCTCCTGAAGGCATAGATTGTGTATTATAATTACACTAAATTTTATTTGATTTTAAAAAAAAATGTTGGCTGTTAATCGACATTTTAAGGATTTGAAAATAGTCTCTTTAAAAACAGACCCCAAACAGAATATTAAGCTGCCAATCAGAATGATAAAAGAAGCATCAACATTCCATGCAGGTTAATCATTAAAGCTATTTGTCTTTCTCCCTCATTTCCAAATAATAGTTTCTAACAATGCTAAAGATATGACCTCATAAGATATACACAAATTCAGAGATTATGACAATAAAAAGTAAATATGGTTGTAATACCTGCCTGAATAACCTTGAAGACTAAGAGATTAGATAACCTTACATTTTGATCATCTTTGGTTCTTTCAGTAGCAAGCAGCAGGTGGTGGTGGTGGTTGTTGTTTGTGTTCACTGACTGTAAACACCAGCGGAAAGATCTGGTTGTTCATCCATTTCTGAACTTTGGCTTTGTTCCAGAACCTGAGTTTTGCATGTGCATCCATTTTACAGATCTTGCTTATTTGTGTACAGACTGTTGGTTTCTTGCTTGCCTCTCAAACAGATGCACTCCGGCACTGAAGGAAGCCCCCAATCAGATGTCTCTTATGATGTGCTTGTTGTGGAGGCAGTGGGTTTGTTCTTGTTTTCCCCACAATGGGACAGAGAACCCACACAGGGAACCAAGCAAGCGTTAGTATAGCTCATTGTTTTAAGAAGTTGTTTTTAACTGACAAATATTTAGTTTTGATGAGTTATGGAATGGAAAAATGTTAGCATAGCAAAAAGGGCACAGTGAGTTAGCATGCCAGCTAAAACTGTCATCAGGAGTTGATCTGCTGAGAAGTAGGTGATGTCAGTTAAAAGCAACAAACACATAGTTGCGTTGCTTCACACCAAATAAGATACTGATTTAAAACAATTTATTTTCTGAAACTATAACTGAGTATTAGTGGAAATAATCTCTGTTGTCTTAAAGAGTGTGTTGAGTTTAGTTAAGAATCAACACTACAGCACTCAGGAAATTCCCATAAGCACTCCATCCCTATTTTCAGCAGCCAGCACAGAGTTCCAGTTCTAATGGTACCAGTAACTGTATGCCTCTTGTCTTTCCCTAGAGTGTAGACCAGATCCACCTGGTCCCTCCCTGCTGCTCCATTCACTTCAGACTATGAGGATCTGTATGTGCCTCTGCACTGTTTGCTCATTCCAAAAGAGCCTTGACAACATCTAGCTTTGTCCTGCACCATCAAGTGGTACAGCACCTGATGGATAATTTTCAAGAGTGTTTCAAGGCCAGAGGACTGACTTCATAGCATGAGTTTTACTCCTTAGCTCGGTCATTCTCCACAGGCAACACCTGAGTGCCACACAAAGTACGAACCCCATAACTCCAGCAACAGCCCTAGTGATCTTTGAAATGTCCACACTCGTAAACGGAGCAACAGAGTTCACAACTCAACATAAGATCCTCAGAGCAACCGAAAAATAGACGAACCACCTTACTGTTTTTATGTGTGTAAATTTTGTTTTCTTATGTGGAAACAAATCACATACTTTACAAAGGGAACATCCATTCTGTCATTCACATGAAATATAAACAACATATGTACACAGTATATTATCGTGAAAAAACACACCTTTATAAAATTAAAGTTCTGGACCTTGTCTTTCCCGTAACCAAGATATTTTCACAGTTTGTCTACTGCATGCCTTTACTTTGCTGATTAATTTAACAGTAAATGTACTTACTACACCAGACAGCAATGTACCAATGTTCCAACAGCTACTATCAATAAAACAAAATGTAAAGAGGTTATGGTATGATATGTGCCACTGATATCCCGGTCCAAATCTTCAGGCACAAACAGCAAAGAACTTATAATGTGGATGACTCCATTTGTGGCTCCAATGTCGGACCGGATGATTTTTGCTCTGACACCTTCAAACATAATGTAGGCATCTGAAGAAAAAAAGTAGGATACAAATGAGGTATGAAGATATGGTGAGATGATGATGTTTGATAAGTGGTGGTGACCTGGAAGTACCTTGCAACCGCAGCTGCTAACAAGTACCACCTACCATAGTAGAGCCTCTGTGTATAATATATTCTATGAACATACTAACAGTGTGCCATATAATAAATAGTTAAGCTGGAAAGCCAGTTAATTTTCTCATAATTTTTCCTTCCCAGTCAATTCCCAAAAACTTTTGAAAATTACTACCCATTTTCTAGATGCTGGGTCAGGCTTGTTGGTTTAAAAATATCCCTGCCTCTTTTGAGAGGCTAAACTCTGACAATATCTTGGCACTAACTAGTACGCCACAAAACAGGTCAGATAAAGATATCAGTTTGCTTTTTGTGGAGTGCTCACTGCAGAGTGGCAAGCATTGCTTCACAGGTCCTAGGTAGTTGGTTCTCTTTAGATATTTGCTATGGGGGATGAAGGAGTGTTGAGAAATAAAGATTGGCTGGTTCTGTGCCAATGGGAGGTGAATTTGTGCAAGATAAGCTAGATGTGGTCAAGGTCCTTTGGGAGCAAGTGAACAATGCATAGGAATGGATAGATCATTAAGGTCTGGAGCGAATGGTACAACTAGAGGAGTGAACAGAGGATTAAGTCGATACCCTACACTCAGAGGAAAAATCTGGAGTGAATGGTACAACTAGAGGAGTGAACAAGGGATTGAGTCGACACTCCACACTCAGAGGGAAGGCAAGACTGACATTTAATCAAACTGCCACTGGCATCATCAGAACTGGAACACTTCGTTGGCTGCTGAAGATGAGGATGGAGTATTTATGGGAATGTCTGAAGTTTGATGATGTCAGTTCATAGCTCAACATTTATAAGCAAACTTAAAATAAACAATATTTCATAACATTTGTTGACAGACAAAAAGTATTTACAGCTGCACAGACAGACAAGAATAATGGGCTACAGTTTCCCATTAAACTGATGTGACAGCAGTTCAGAAACTGCTACAATAAAGTGATTCAGGATCATAAGACACTTACTTATTGCTAACAATACTGGTAACATTACTTCTGGTTGTATCTATGACATGACCCTACTTTAGGTTTGAGGGTCAAGACATCAGGACTATAAGGAAAGTTCCCTTGTATGCACACAATCAGTAGGGAATATGCATAGTCAATCAGACAAAGAAAGAATACAAAAAGGCTCCTGGTCAGTTTGGAAAGGGACATCAACAGATGTGTACAAACAATGATTTTATCCCAACAGATAATATATCATTCATGCCACACACATGTGGTTATTCAGCCTTTAGTGTCAGTAATTGTTATCAGGTAAGTAAATGTAGAAATATATTGTGTTTATATTGATGTAACAATGACAGGTTAAAAAAAAGACAGAATCTAATATAGCCATGACACTACTGTCCTGCTTTTGCTGTGTATCAATGTTGTGAGACAAATTGTTTAGGTTCTTGTCAGACAGTGAGGGCAGTTTTGTTGCTCTTCAAGGGTTTTAATACTGGAGCAGACAAGCAGCACTCATCAATATTAATCCAAGAGGGCAATTACAGCAAAGTCATGGTACAAGCTCAGGGCTTTGGAGTAACAACATGGGCCAATGCAAACTTCAACATGACCAGCACCCACAGGTACACACAGATCACCTTACAAGTATGCCTGCCTCTTTCTAGCACCTTGAAAATCTATGTGTGAATACCTCTAACACCACTGGTGACAATGCTGCCAGAATCTACACTGTCTCATTTTTAACTACTGCTGAAAACATTACTTCTGGAATCTATCTACAATTGCTCTTCTCTCACATTACTTGGAACATAATTTCTAGAAGCTATATCTGCTCACCTTAAACACTACTGGGAATATTACTTCTAAAATCAGTCTACAACACTCACCTCTAACATTACTGGTAACACCACTTACAGAATCTACATGTGCTCACCATAACACCAGTGATAACTTTATTTTTGGAATCTGCATTTTCTCACCTCTGGAAGCATTACTTACCCACAGGAACATTGCTTCTGAAATCTATACTGAAATCTAATACCACTAGGAAGATTACTTCTAGACTCTAACTGCAAATACTTCTAGATTCTAACTACAAAAACTCACCTCTAACACCACTGGGAACATTACTTCTAGAATCTATCTGGACAACAATCTCTTCTCCGTTGTCAGCAAGAAAACTTCTTGGTGCACCCATTGCAATTTGATCAAGATAAATCCTTTCTCTGAAAGTGATCAATCGTCTAAAGATCTGCAAAAAGGAAAAAATTATGTACCTGAATTTATATTTTAAGATACTCAAATTTAGCAATAGTAGTATTTGCATAAATAATATCCTCTTAAATCTCAGGGAAGTAATTATATTATATATATGTATATTTTAAGTATCCGGTACTATGGATATCACAACCCTTTGGCCGTGATTCAGTGAAAGACACCATAAATCTGGGAGAAAAGTGGCTTTTCTGCCTACCCCCAGACCACAATGAGTTCGTCACCCAGTCTCTGCGCAGAGGGTTTTTAACCAACTGCACTAGCGAGCTGGGCATTATAATATATAGTGTCCATTGTGTGTTTTCAGTTAATGCCCCCCCTTCCCTCTCTCACACACACACACATTGCACAAGAAAAGTACAGGTATATTAAAATGTACAGCTAATGATATAAAGCCATATTGGTTTTAAAAAAAATTTGAAAGTGTAATATGCACTAGATATATATAATTATAAGGAGGCTAACACATAATACACAACTCATTCCAAATTTAAGGGTTTCTATGACAAAGTGGTTAAGCCACGTGTCTTGTGCTATGTACGTCATCGGTTTAGTTTAGGGGTTATAGATGATGGGTGGTCGTATCTATGGAGACTGGGTTTTGAGTTACGATTTCTTAGGGCAACAAGGCATTATCTGGAGGAATATCAAACCAAAATCATGTTTTTCTACAACAAATCAATCAAGCAGATTATAACTTTTAACCCTTAAACACTAGTTGATGTAAAATTTTCTTGTAAGCCTTAATGATAGAGTTCACAGGGTCACGGTATGTCGGCCAATACCTATGTTTAAGGGCCAGGGAATGTATTTTATTTTATATTTTTAGGCTTACAGAATGTATTTCATCTAACAAGGGATAAATTCATGCTGATCTTGGTACATTAAGGAAGCTGCAACGAGCTTAAGTATATTAATTATCCAGTGATATTAAGCATGGCTATGTAAGTAGTTTGTTAACCAATAAGTTCATAAACCTGATCAAATGCTTTATTCCCATTGATCATCATTTGTTGGCAGTGTTTTCTTGATTTGTTCATGCTGCTGATATATTTCTTTAATTTTCCTGCTGATTTTTCTCACCAGCTAAAGTGGCAAGCAAGTTCAGAGCCTATACTTCATTTGGGGGATAAAGAGAAGTTGAAAAAGCAATAACTGGGAGGAATAAAGGAAAAAAACACTGTTAAATAATGCCAATTTAACTTACCCATCTCCATCTCCTTGGATCATTCATCATTTGCCTTCCATACGTAGTCCGAGCAAAGTTGTCAATGGCTGTTCCATTTGGCACGAAGTAAGTGAACTCACATCTAGAAGACATTGAATGTTCATGTGTGAAGAATGAATTATGAACACTTATTTTTTTTTATGAATAAATAAAAATAAGTTATTCAACTGATATTTTTTAGCACAGGCACAGTAGATTAATTTGCCAGAAATAACATGTTAATAGAATAAGTCTGTTAAAATGTTTAGACAAAAGACTTGGCTTCACATCATAAATCTGGCTGTCGTAAGTGTTAATCCTTATTAAGCCAGACTGTAAAATCCTGCTTGGTCAACCAAGCCCAAAACAGCTACTTGAAAATATTCTTAAATGTCCAAATGCTGGTTGGTCTCTAAAAGGGCTAGCATAATATGCCTGATGGCCCTACAGGAGAAAAATGGGATCTAAATACAAGACTGACTATTAAATTCTGACCTTGGAGATTTTGGTCACAGGTATGAGACAAATGTAAAGGCTGTTGTGATGTGGAAAAGGAGATGCCCCACACCTCAGCTTGGGTGACAGCATGCTCTGTGATGGTTTTGTGAATCCACATGCAAGACTCTTGCCCCAAGTCATTAGAGCTACTGATAATGGGTCACATCGGCCCAACCAAACTGGCAGGGGATCTAAGAGTTGGTGACCCCAGAGATGCAGTGTCCAGAAATCTCCTGTTCTCATCAGTCCACCCCTGATGCAAGGGTGAAAACATAAATCAAAAACTCATTTGGATTATAAGCGAAGTCTGTTGGCTAAACATTCTGCTACATGACAAATCCCCTACAGTATAACATCGACATTTAAGAAGTCCATCAGTCAGGTTTTGATGTGATGTAACCATCTATGCAGCCACCTCCTTGCGATCTGCTGAAGCTTTGCCAGAAAAGACCCACAGCCTACCCAAAAGCATGTAGTAAGAGTCGACTAATTGGGAGCTTCCTTCGAAATCGGAGTGCATCTGCCTGAGAGGCAAGGAACCAGCAGTCTGCATACAAATGAGTCAGATCTGTAAAATGGATGCACATGCAACACTCAGGTTCTGGAACAGGACTGCAGCCCAAAAATGGATGAACAACCAAAACTTTCCGCCAGAGTTTACAGCTGGTGAACATGAAGAAGAAGTACCATGAGATTTGTCCACAGCTTAGATGAGCAAACATCTCATGCAGGCGGGGTCTCAAGGTTCAGTCAACGGCAAAATCTTACATGTCCATAAAGATGTGACAGACAAGGTTCAAATGCCGGTTAACAATGGCCCCAGTCATCTGAACTAATGACATCTGCTCAGAAACATGAACTAATGACATCTGCTCAGAAACATGAACTGATGACATTTGCTCAGAAACATGAATTAATGACATTTGCTCAGAAACAAGAACTGATGACATTCAAGACATTGCACATTCAGAGAGAATGACCATAGCCAGTACCACATAATCAATCAGTCAAGTGCCATCTCCACAATGAAGGTTGGCTGCAGTCAATCTCCAACAAACTCTATCTCTTATCTTAATTGTACAAGCTCTCAAACTGTTGTCTGTCCATCTTTTGAACATGTCCTCTCACTTGTATCATTGTCACCTCTGGCTCTTTTGCCCTCAACCTTTCCTCAGTATGGTTTTTTTAAAGTATCTTTTAGTGTGGCTAAAACATTTCAATTTTCAGTTTTATCTCTTTCAGTAACATTTCATCTGCAGTCTTTCATGATTTTTGTGATTATTTTGTTTCCATGAAATACAACCTAATCTTCTGTATATCCACATTTCTAAACAATACACTCGATTTTTAGTTGCTTATTCACTGTCCAAATTTCTGTTTCAATAGCCTGTACGCATAGCATTTGATTGTTCTAATTTTAAAAGTGTGGTTTATCTCTGTAACAGTGTTTGCATCTTATTTTGCCATCAGTGAGTGCTGAATCACCAACTATTCCTGCCTATGGCAGCAAAAGTGAAGGATCGTGATAAACGAAGCTGTTTTAGCTCTTTCAGTTATGAAAATGTATTACAACAGCTGGTTCTATTCTAAGATGTTAGTGTAACAACTGGATGTCAGAAGTTTAGAAAAGTAGATCAAGTTGGCTGAAACCAGCAAACATATGCCAGGTTGCTTGGTAGTAAATGAGTGAAAGGATGTGTAGAAGTATTCTTTAGGTTTAGGTTTAAACAATAGATCAACATCACGGCACAAGGATAATAACCCATAAGTGCTCCGTTCTACTTCTAACTCAAGCCTGAGTCCAAAGAATCTCAACACAGTGCATAAAGATCATAGCACCGGTGAGGAAGGGGCAGGGTTTTTTCTGGTTTCCCAACAATATGGCCACAGAACCCACACAGGGATGTAGAAGTTTTCTAGAATGTACCTTTGAATTCCATCACCACAGATTCCCGTGTACAAGTCAGGTGGGTTGGCGGTGTCAGTGCTAGGGTTATAGACGCCATTATTTGGGACTCCACTCCCAGTTGCTGAAATGCCATTGAATGTACACTCCTGATTCTTGACAAGTAAAGGGTCTCTCATGTACTTGGTCAATCCCACATACTGCATCTGGACAAAAGTTGACCTGGTTGAACAAATATCAAGAAATATCAAATATCAGGATTTGACAGTTTATGGAAATTGGCATCTCAACAGTGTGATAGAATTTAAAAAAAACACTAGGTGATAAATATAATCTTCAGTTTCTACAGCTAAGCCCCTCGGCTCACTCTCTGAAAGGAATGTGTAGTTTCAGGAGTTGTGTCCTTTAGTTCACCCTAGAGATCATTGCTTGAGCTAGAGAGTTTGTGCTCTGTGTGATGATCTTGACAGGGACAAGCTATTCTGTGAAGAGAGATACCGCCATATGGCAGGGCTATTCAACTGGTGGCTTGTGGGCCAGATCTGATCTTTCAATATTGCAGAGCTCATATATTAAGTGTATAACATTGAAGAAGTATAGATTATCAAGGTCAATATATTTTACATGTACTTTCAAAAAGTGTTATTATTATACTATCTATTTCTGCAGATACTTAAAGTAATCTGCAATACCATTATTCTGTCTAAAGATATATTAACACTTCACATGCTAACCCCTGGTCCTGTAATAACTGTCTGTCTTACCACATGTTTAGGGCGGTGCAGACAGAAGGTCATGAGGCTGAGGATTTAGGGGCACATAGCTAATGATGTCGCAAGGACTGTGCAGATTAAGATGTTTCAATTTTGCCCACAACAGGAAAAATTCCCTCACCTTACCAGGGGTTGAACCCAGGTCTCCCATATGACAGCCCAATGTTGAAACCACTGGGCCAGCCACTCCTTGGTCCTGTAAAATACTGTTTAATCCACCCCTGTAGTTCTCTAGAGCCACCTACTCACAGCGTTGTTTTCTATTTTCAAGGGATTACTGCAGTGGATCATATATTCATTAGGGGAAGTCCTTAAGAAGCATATAAGCATTCTATGATATACAGTCTAGGTTATACTTACGCAAGCCAGTCTTTACAAAATATGGTGTATGGAATGTCTCGAGTGGGAATGCCAAACACAGCATCAATCTGATGCACAACCCCATTAGTTACTCCAATGTCTGGTTTAACCACGCGGGCCTGCACATAACCTCCTTCAACCCAGGTGTCTGAAACAGTTGATTTACAACATAAAATACACGTGGACTCAAGATTTACAATATAAAATACATGTTGACTCCAGTAACATTATTATATCAATTACTTGAAAGAAACACTATATGCATATGTGTTTAAACATGTTTATAACAAGTTTTATCAGGATTTGCCCTACATGTCCAGAAAGAGCTACAGAAAGTGATAGATATGGTGGTGTTAGAAAGTGAAAGAAGGAGCCTCAGCTTGAATAATGGGAAGACAGAAGTAATAGTAATATCAAAGAAAAGAATTGTGCCTAAATGTAAAAAAAAAGGACAAGAACAGAAATGTAAGTATCTAGGCACACGGATAACAGGAGACCAACTGGCTGGCATGCAGGGGTTTATTATACAAATTCTTTAATCTGGCCATTATGACGTCATAATCTGCCTTTTATTGTAAGCAAATGCATAATGACATGGTGATGAGCGCCTGTCAAATTTTTTTCTATTTTTTATTTTTCACTTTCTTCATGTTCATTGATTTCTCCCCTTGATATATCTATATAAAAAAAAAATTAGGCTATCCTCCGAACTTCGGGCACAAAAGATGGCGCCGCAAAATATCCTTTTGAGCCTCAGTCACGTGACTCCCCCGTGTGGGTTCCGGGGCCCTATTGTGGGGAAAACAAGAATAGACCCACTGCCTCCCCAAAAGCATGTCGTAAGAGTCGACTAACTGGGGAGCTTCCTTTGAAGTCGGAGTGCATCTGCCTGAGAGGCAAGGAACCAGCAGTCTGCATTCAATTGAATCAGATCTGTAAAACTGATGCACATGCAACACTCAGGTTCTGGAGCATGACTGCAGTCCAGAAGTGGACGAACAACCAGAACTTTACGCCAGAGTGTACAGCTGGTGAACACAAAGAAGAAGAAGAAGTCACGTGACTTAATTTGCGGTTTCCCAGCAACTTAATTAGCGGTTTTCCGGCGACTACCGCCACGAGTCCCCCACGCTGCATGAGTGGCGTAGATTGGGGCTAAACTAAATGGCTAGGACCCACGAGCAGCAGCTACTGCATCTCCTGCAGCTTTGCTCATGAGTCCTAGCCATCTAGTTTAGCCCCAATCCACGCCGCATGAGCGGCTTGGGGGACTTGAGGCGGTGGTCGCCGGAAAACAACAAATTAAGTCACGTGACTGAGGCTCGAAAGGATATTTTATGGCCACCATCTTTTGTGCCAGAAGTTCGGAGGATAGCCAAAAAATTTAATAAAATCTAAAAAAAAATGCTTTAGTGGCCTGTGTAAAATGGTTGCCTTTTATAGCTTTTTAAAAACAAAAAGGGGTTGGGGACAGGGGAGCCAAGGTTTATGGCATTCTTCCCAAGGGTTTTCCACCATGAAAGCGATATATGTGGATCCAGCAAAAAAGAACTTATGAGAGGAAGAATCAGTCTGTGTGCAACCAGTGTGCCCTTGGAGCAATGCAGAAATCATTTACAATTATATCTTAAGACATTTGCTGTAGAAGATAGAGTATCTCTATATATTCCCAATATGCTCTGATGTTCATTCTTACATTAATAATCAGTCACTACGAATTGTAAAACAAAGGAAGGGGAAAAAATTAAATTGTGAAATATATGCAAGTGAAATATGCTGGGAAACACAACAGAATTATCTATGTAAGGAATTGAAATATCCAGCTGCAAACAATTCTTACCATTTCCTTCACTGTAGACTTTAATCAGACGTCCATTGTATCGTGACACAACAGTTACATATGATTCATAGCCAGCATTGTAATCCATTAAATTGATGTGTTGTCCTTGCATCAACATGCTCATCTCTATAACCTTTACAGAATATACACACAATTGCTAATTTAAGAAAATCTGAAAAAAATTTTTTGATTCGTGAAATAATATATTTGACTACTACTTCTTTAGGTGTCCGATCTAGAGCAGAAATCGGCAATAATGATACAGTGAATACAGGCACAGCAAAGGTAATGATTCAAATAAAGTAATCCACATGACAGAAATAATCCCCTAATTATTTCATTTCATGGGTTTAGATTTCTTGTTGTTAGTTTTACTGATGAAGACTGAGGCTGAAACATTTGCTTGTTATATGTTTTTCCTTTGCCAGACTTCAGGTGCATTTTGTGTGCATGTAATCATTCTTAATTTCAGCCCACAGCATTAACCTTCTTGTCTATTTTGATACTCTCTTCCCCATGTAAGTTCCAGGGCCCAATCTTTTTTTGTTTTGTTTGGGTAAGAAAAAAAAGCAAAGATCCCTTTACACGCCCTTAGGCGCATCAGGCATATGGGAAGAGCACCCATATTTTTACAGACCAGTCGGCACTCGGTGGGTAATGTTGTCAGCATTACGCCGGCCGTCTTTACTTTCCCAGGACAGCCCATCCTGGTACCTATTTGAGGCTGGGTCGACCTGCGACGTCCCATACCACAATAAAAATCCACACAGCCCACGCAGGTTTTGATCACGGTAAGTTAGACTTGCAACGCTTTAGCCACGGACGCCACTTTGTTTGGGTGGTGGAGGAAATAGATTCACTACCCTCTATCAAGCATGTCATATAAGGCTATTATTCAGGCATATTTCCTTCGAAGTCACAGTGGATCTGCCTGAGAGACAAGCAACCAAATGTCTGCATACCTATAAGTGAGATCAGCAAAATGGATGTGCATATGCAAAACTCAAGTTCTGGAACAAGAACAATGTGTGCAAGTAGTCACACAACCAGAACTTTCTGATAGAGTTTACAGCTGGTGAATGCTAAGAAGAAGAACATACTCTCTGTCACCTGCTATTTTTACAAAGTTAGTGTTGCTTATTTTAACAAACAAATAAAAACAAAACAAAAAATAATATTACCATGTTGATCAGAGACTGATTGTTCATGTAGTTCTGGTAAACATTGGCTATTGCATACATGGCCTGGTTTATTGGAGCAAAGACGGTGACTCCATTTGCAGAAGTGAGGTCATTCTGAAGGTCTTTCCTTCCAACAGTGATGAACTGCTCAAAGTTTCTGTGGATAAACAGCAGTGAAATCATACATTACTTAAATATCAACAAACATAACTGATATATTTCTTCACATAAATACCCACATAAATTAATATTTTATTTCATAACAACATGTAAACCTGCTTGACGAAACATAACCAAGTATGGCATGGAAATAAATGTGGAAAACACTAAAGTAATGACTAATAATCCAGCTGACATAACTACAGAAATGTACGTTAAAGGTCACAAATTCGAACAAGTCAATCATTTCAAATTTTGAAGATCCATCCTGTGACCAAGGTTCAGACCAGAAATTATGTCTAGATCCAAAAACAGTTCATGTAGAACAAGGCTTTGACGACTCAGAGCACTAGCTTCATGTAGAACTAGGCTTTGACTACTCAGAGCACTAGCTTCATGTAGAACTAGGCTTTGACGACTCAGAGCACTAGCTTCATGTAGAACAAGGCTTGGACTACTCAGAGCACTAGCTTCATGTAGAGCTAAACTTTGACTACTCAGAGCACTAGCTTCATGTAGAACTAGGCTTTGACGACTCAGAGCACTAGCTTCATGTAGAGCTAAACTTTGACTACTCAGAGCACTAGCTTCATGTAGAGCTAAACTTTGACTACTCAGAGCACTAGCTTCATGTAGAACTAGGCTTTGACGACTCAGAGCACTAGCTTCATGTAGAACTAGGCTTGGACTACTCAGAGCACTAGCTTCATGTAGAGCTAAACTTTGACTACTCAGAGCACTAGCTTCATGTAGAACTAGGCTTTGACTACTCAGAGCAATAGCTTCATGTAGAACTAGGCTTTGACTACTCAGAGCAATAGCTTCATGTAGAACTAGGCTTTGACTACTCAGAGCACTAGCTTCATGTTGAACAAGGCTTTGACTACTCAGAGCACTAGCTTCATGTAGAACTAGGCTTGGACTACTCAGAGCACTAGCTTCATGTAGAGCTAAACTTTGACTACTCAGAGCACTAGCTTCATGTAGAGCTAAACTTTGACTACTCAGAGCACTAGCTTCATGTAGAGCTAAACTTTGACTACTCAGAGCACTAGCTTCATGTAGAGCTAAACTTTGACTACTCAGAGCACTAGCTTCATGTAGAACTAGGCTTTGACGACTCAGAGCACTAGCTTCATGTAGAACTAGGCTTGGACTACTCAGAGCACTAGCTTCATGTAGAGCTAAACTTTGACTACTCAGAGCACTAGCTTCATGTAGAACTAGGCTTTGACTACTCAGAGCAATAGCTTCATGTAGAACTAGGCTTTGACTACTCAGAGCAATAGCTTCATGTAGAACTAGGCTTTGACTACTCAGAGCACTAGCTTCATGTTGAACAAGGCTTTGACTACTCAGAGCACTAGCTTCATGTAGAACTAGGCTTGGACTACTCAGAGCACTAGCTTCATGTAGAGCTAAACTTTGACTACTCAGAGCACTAGCTTCATGTAGAGCTAAACTTTGACTACTCAGAGCACTAGCTTCATGTAGAGCTAAACTTTGACTACTCAGAGCACTAGCTTCATGTAGAACTAGGCTTTGACTACTCAGAGCACTAGCTTCATGTAGAACTAGGCTTGGACTACTCAGAGCACTAGCTTCATGTAGAGCTAAACTTTGACTACTCAGAGCACTAGCTTCATGTAGAACTAAGCTTTGACTACTCAGAGCACTAGCTTCATGTAGAGCTAAACTTTGACTACTCAGAGCACTAGCTTCATGTAGAACTAAGCTTTGACTACTCAGAGCACTAGCTTCATGTAGAGCTAAACTTTGACTACTCAGAGCACTAGCTTCATGTAGAGCTAAACTTTGACTACTCAGAGCACTTGCTTCATGTAGAACTAGGCTTTGACTACTCAGAGCACTAGCTTCATGTAGAACTAGGCTTTGACTACTAAGAGCACTAGCTTCATGTAGAACTAGGCTTGGACTACTGAGAGCACTAGCTTCATGTAGAACTAAGCTTTGACTACTTAGAGCACTAGCTAATGGTATGCCTATGCATAGCTCTGAAAAACAGAGACCAAATCACAAATGGCGAGGTTCAACGTATAATTAACCAGTACACTGGCAACTATGAAATTCTGTAACTACGGGAAAAAAGTGAACAATGCAATGGTATAGACATTTATAATCATTAATACATTCTTTCATTTATACATATAAATTGAATCAAAGCATAACTTCTGGCAAAGAGAAACATCAGTGCAAGTCAAACTTTACAAGTCGCTGAGTGAATTACAAAAGACAGTGAAGTTCATACTAGAGACAACATTGCAGATATAGATAATTTATTTCAAGCGAAAGAAAGAAGAAGAAGATACCATGCAACATTTGATTCGAAAGAAGCTACCCACAGAAAATGAAAATGAACTTACTGTGTAACAGGATCTATTGAAATCTCTTCCACAGCACTGTTGTAAACAAAGCCCAGAAGCTGATCAATCTGATGAACAACTCCATTAATGACGGTTATATTTGCCGGAGTGATGCGAGCAGTCACTGTTCGTCCGCTGCTGAGTGCACCTGTAACATACACTAGAAACACAGAGCAAGGGGTTAGCGGTGTGTAATAGTTGCATAATTTGTCTAATTACATCACTGCTGCAAAGCTAATTCGTTATTTACTGTTTCTCTAAATGATTTAGACATATATTTTACTTCACAATAAAGTATTTAAGCTGAAAAATCAACTACTTGCCCTATGCCTTTCCCATTGTGTGAATTAACTTGAGTGTGACCCCTCTTCTATTTGATAGAAGAATGACAAGAATGCAAGACAGATAAAAATCACAATTAATATATTTTCAAAGAATTAAACTCGCAACGAGAACTGGTTACTTATTTTAGAAGGAACCAGTTCTAATTTTTAGGCTTGTCTTGAGAATTTACCTGAAGCAAAGGTTCAAGCAAAGAAGTCGGGCTCAGAGAGATCACGATTGGACATTCATTCTATGCTTCTTAACCTCTGAGACATGTTAGTCTAAGTTACTGGGAAGTCAAGTTGTATTTTGCAATGTATTTGTTGGTGGATGGACAGGTACACATGTTTTACATGTTGTTTTGAGCGATTGCATTTATTCTGGTGTTCCTGGACTTCAAGTATGAAATTAATTTACTTCAGCTGTAAATGTTGATGGCCAACAAGGAGACGAGCATTGCTTTTCTGCAGCAGAAAGGTATCCTACCATTCAGAGAACCAATTGATGGTGCTACTGCAAAATGTTAATACTTCTGAAACCACAGCACATGAGGTGCAGTCTCTCAGGGGACATAGGCTGAGCCTGTGGGGTGCTGGAGTTGTTGGGGTTAGACCAGTTCTAGATATTCTGGGGTCGTTAAAACCAGTCACATCCTGTAATAAAGAGCACACATGATCGCCGGTGAGAGGGTAGACACAACAGAACCTGACACCCCAGCAGTTATTGAACGGTCAGTCATGGTCTCCCTGGGCCTGACTTTGTTAGTTGTACCACAGTAAACACCACAACAGGGAAAGGAAGCATGTAAAGATCAAGAGAGCAGATGCTAAGACAACTGGGTATTGTGGTGTGGAGGAACATGCATATCATAAGTAGTTAGGTAGGTAGTTAGTTTTTTGAGGTTTCAACATCACTGCAGACTGGTGGCCCCATAACTGATTCATTCCTGTACCAGAGGAAATCATTTCAAATGTCCAGTTTGAAAACTAGAGAAAACCAGCAAAATTTGGACTCTTGCACTCGCAAAGTAAAAAAATTTACAAGTAGCTGTAAGATGTGCCAACACTAAAAGTCCCATTCCAGAATTGCAACTCATTGTTGGCGCAAATGGCCTATCACAAAAGCTGGCACTGCACTCACAAAAGTACATGCCATTCTGAACATAACCGACAACTTGCCATTTTAGTGCAGTCAAACAACATGCTATGGGCACATATATATCAGAAATGGCTGCAGGTGGACACATGGTGACCAATATCACAGGCATTAAAGCAAAATAAGAAGAAAAAGAAGCAATACACCAATTATACAGCATGTCTTCTCTAATAAAGCCCATATATTTACTTTTTTTCTATATCTCAGTTTCTCATTTTCCATATAAATATATATGATATAAAGGATATATGTAGTCACTACTAGCATAGGTCTGTTTATTTTATGGAGTGGAAGTGTCCTAAAAATATTTAAATTTATTCACAGGGTGTCCCACAAGTTTCCATACTTGAAAATAAACAGATCACCAACACCACTGCAAGCATAATTCCAGCTGTACTTGTACAGTGGAGGACACATCGAAATATGTTTTCTTATGTATTAAAACATTTGGGTCACCCGGTAATTACTTTTTAAAAATAGATCAAACTACTTCTTTAACTCATTATACTTAATATTACTCATAATATTTTAATCATTTTCTTGGCTACTGATTGAATCCGTTCTAGCAGTCCTTGAGTATAGTGGGAACGTTCCCAGTTGTCTGTTTCTTGACAGGAGTAATTCTATATCTTACTTCTCAGCAAGAATCACATCAGCAGCTGGTTTGACCCATTGTATCACTTTAACTCTTCTAAACATAAAATAATTCAGCTTTAACACAAGCTAGTTCCCTCTCAAATGCCCCCTATTCATATTTATTTGTAATATTTTCCCTAGTATAGTTTGACATATCTAGTGTATAAAATTAATTTACTAATGTGAAAACTTTCTGTTTTATATTTTTGTTTGTTATTTAACATGTCAGACATGTCTACTTTGTTATTGCTGTCACCATTTGATCTTTTGAGACAACTGTATTATATTGGGCTGTATGGAAACCACAGCCCATGGCCAAGGCGAGTGGGATTTGCAAGGATAGTGTGCATCAAGAACAGTTTTCCACAATAAATGCGTGGGGTTTCAGGACCACTGTTTTCACCCCATGTTATCAGTTACATTTTGTGCCAAATCTCCTTTTTATTATTTAGTGTGAAACACATGAGAATCTCTTAGTGACCTTGTAACATCACTGGAGAATTGAGAATGATTACAATGATGGTAACAATTATGAACATTTTAAACTGAAAGCAACATGCCAAGCTAATTGAATGAATACAAAATCAGTTACCAGCTTCTCTATTGTAATTCTTTCTGAACACAACAGCACCAGAATTGAACTGTGTGTTGAATCGTTCATTATGGTTCACTAGCGATGTATACAAGACTTGACTGGGTACTATATGGAGAGTTATGATCTGTTGATGCAATACAATCGTGGTTAACATTAAGTTAATATTAATAGACAGAGAGGCACATGGGAACACACACTGCCACAAATTCACACACATTAAATAACAATGTAAAGCAGCAAAATCTAAAAGCACTAAGTCATGTCACAGTTAGCTGACAAGGTGAGAACTGAGGAGTGTCAACATTTCAAATAAATTGTGTATAAAAGTTCTTAGGGAACAAATATGACAAAGCATGAATACTATCTGAAATTCCTAATTTAAAATAAATAAAAAAGAGAGAAGACTGAAACAACAGCATACACACACAAAAAAGGACTAAAAATTCAAAGCTCACACAGGAAAACAGAAGATAAAAAGGAAGTTTAGAAGCAAACAAAATATGATAAAAGACAATATTTAGACTGCATCAAAGATGAGACTGAAGCAGCAGCAAAAAGAAATTGCAAAGACGTAAACAAGACTAGAAAATATAAAGAATTAGAAAAGCAATTAGGCTTTTGGATGAGGGAAAATTGCTGGTTCAAATAATATTGTAGAAAGAAGATTTAAAACAAACACACACCCACACATAGATATGCATGCACACATGCACTCATATACATCAACACAAAGAAAGCATATCTGCAAGGAAGTTCCAAATTGGTCAGACTACAGATATGTCAAGAAAATAAACCCACTTGCAGTTTAAATTCATCTAAACGTTTTCCTTCCGGTAATAGTTTATACATCTGGATGTCTTCTTTCGCAGCTATATTAAGATATTTTAATTATTTGAATACAAACCAAAAACAGAAACTGTAATAATAAACCTTGGCAGAATGTAGACTTTTACTTACATCCAACATGAGCCTCTGGTTTCCTTGCAGTTCACTGAGCTTCTGTGCAGGAATCCGGTTAAGAGCCTCATCTGAAGGCAGGAAAAATGTCGCTTGCGAACCAGTCAAAACTCTCTGCACTTGCTTGTTATAATTATACTCTCCATCTTCTTGCGGTGCTTGCTGCAGAAACTGCATTATTTTTACATAGAACTGGTACCTGAGAAACAAAAAAGAGAAATTAAAATGGTTGCTCCAAAACACAAATTATCATCACACAACATTCTGAATTTAGTGAGACTGAAAATTGCAAATGTCTAACCAACATGGTTCATTTCAAGATCATCTTCATAAGTTCTCTTATCTTCTCCAAAGCATCTTTTTTTTACTGTGCTTATGATAACACCTTCTGTTCTGTAGTGATATATCTAGCAACTGTTAGCTCTTGCATGATTTTAACTCTGCTCTGCTCCAAATGGTATACAGGTTAAGGTTCACAAATCTGATCATCCACAGTCTGGTTCCTTTAGATTTTTAGCATGGATTTTGGAGTGCATTTTCAAATTTACTGCCTTGGTGCACCACTGTTTTATTTTTTAAAGCACGGTTTCTGTCTTGATGAGCTGTACTCCTGAATCACCTGCTGGGTCTTGCATGCATGACTAACAACCATTTCCGCTTATTCCTTCTCATTTGATCATTTATTTACTGCTGTATAGCATCTTTATGGAGGCAGCAAAGACAAGAGGTGGTGTGAAATGTAAACACCATGTGTTGTCGATTGCAGAGAAAAGTGGAAATATTAAAATATATGCTAAATATATACAGAAAATATAACCAATAAAAATCTGACATCCTCAAAAATCCATCAAGCTTCATGTCTGGAGGTTACCGGATTTTTTAAAATGTCTACTTGTACTAACAAACATATTAACAACAACAAAAACCAAATGCTTACTTACGCTATTTTTTTCGAATTGTACCCAGAAGCAAAAGCTAATGCAGTATAGGGTATTGGCATATCCAGCACTTGGTCAATAATGTGTATCACATGTTGGCCTGCCTGAATATTGGGTCGGATTAACATGGCACCATTACAGAAATACTTTGTTGGACCTGGCAATCCACTGGCAACATTCTGTGATATCAAAGAAACAAAAAATGTGAACACACTTTTGTGAACCATAATATAATAGGATAATCTTACATATCTGGAGATAATGACAAAATTTAATAAACAATATTGATCTTTCCCCCAAGTGCTGCGAAATCGATTTTTTAATCATCATCAACGAGAAAAGAAAAGCTGCGTACTTTCATGTAGAAGATAGTGCGTCAACCGGGTCGAACGAAGACATGACATGACAACCCTACAATATAGGACTGTCCCAGAGAATTCCCTAAAAAATCTTGCACCTGACAAGGTGGGGTGAAAAAGCTGAACAATACCGAATTCAAATAAATAGTAGTGTCACAAGTTTGACTGGTAAGCTGAATGTCAAGATAAAAACATGTAACACAGGTCATGTGACAGGTTTTAATGAAAATGATGTTGCTTATACTATTATCGATTGTCCTATATGAAAGTTTTATATTCCCTTGCCTAGTATTTTCTTACATAAGGTTATTTCTTTTATTCTAATCTTGTGAGTTATGATGCCGTCTGCCATAGATCTCAGTGTAAGTGACAAGGACTTTCTGTGACAGCAGTAGTTCACTTACATGGTCAGTTGTCCTAGCAAAGGTGCCCAAAATGGCATCTTCTGCCTAGCACAACACAAGCAATGGCCAGCTTAGAGAAACACTCTGCTTTACTTCTGTTTAAACTTGCAAATCGCAACTACAGGCCTCTATCATCTTCAATATTCTACTTACTCCAATTCTCAGATCTCGTCGATTGAGAAATAGTTTCCTATTCAGAGATGAGTATGTTTGGTAAGGAGCAGCGTCACTGAATGCAGAAGTCTGCACAGCTTCCATTACTGTAGAACACAACAAAAATGTTTTTTGTGAAACAATAAACTGCCACTAAAACTTGGGCATTCAACATGAAAGCCAATGCAGTAAAATAATTTTTACATATAATAGCTCCAAGGAATATGATATAATTTTACATTACCAATACTTACCTGGTATTTTAGAGTTATTTGGTTACTGATTTTTAAAAATAAAATGTAGCCTGATGGGTCAAAATAAAGCAGGCTATGTCAATGAGCCAGGTGTCTCTGCACACAGTCCAGGAAGACTCAACAATATGGTTCACCATCATATATTTATTCACAAGAACGTTCAGGTTTAACTACTCGGCACACAATGACTGAACACGAAGAAACCTAGCACACGTCTGTACGCTGGTTCACAAGAAATAACATCTAATGCTCCACAAAGTCACATTCTACAAAACAGTTTCAGTCGTGCTCCCTAATACAGCATAAACTTACTGCAGATCTCCACAACTCTGAGTTCCATCAGCACACAGCCGATATCTACGAGGGTCACTCACTCCTCGTATTACTAGAATCAGTTGTCTTGTTTCATTAGTGATTACCAACATGCATCGTCACCGAAGACAAGCTCCTCACAGCAGAACACGCAGCTCTCTGTACGTCAGCGCTCTTCGCAACTCAACTGCTCTCCAGCTACTTATCAACTCCTTATGTACCCTAACATCTACACACGTGAGTTTTCTGTGAGTTCTCCATGATACTCGAGACTCCAACACTATTTCACGTGTTTCATCTTTTCTCACATATCTTCGTGCCCCAGTCTTGCTGAACACAAACTAGGTATGCATATTTACTCAGGCCGATTGACATCTAGTGACACCCCTGGTCAACGGTCCATCCTAAGTAAACATAGAATCAAAATGTCGACACTGGCCCACTGACACCACGTGGATCTCAGGGTCCATGAGACTATACCAACCATAACAATGTTGATACCCGAATCGACACACAACATGATTTTTGTTCTAATTTCTGCAAGGTTTCTTGCATCAGACTTTAAAACTGTTTCAACAAAGGTATACTGATTCCCTTGTTTAAGAATGTTGTAAGTTTTCTTACAATTTTTATCTCTGAGCCTTTTTTTTTACATACCATCTACTATTACTGCATCCACTAAACATTGTAGGCCCTGTTCATGTCTGACAGAAAGATAGGGACCCTTTTTCACGCCCTTATACTGGGTATATAGTGCTAGACCCATGTTTTATAAACCAATCGGCATCAGTGGGAGATGTAATCAGCATCACTCTAGTCATCTTTACTTCTCAGTACTTTACCTGGCACCTATATGACACACATAATCAGAAGGGGAACTCTTGCGGCCGCAGACATTATATATATATATATATATATATATATATATATATATATATAAATATATAAAAAAAAATATATATAAATATATAAATATATATATATATATATATATGTATATATATATATAATTTTTAAAAAGCTGTATTAATTGGCACTCATAGAAAGATAGAAGGACACATGAGAACAACAACTGATGTTTTAACTGGCACTCATAGAAAGACAGAAGGATACACTAGACAACATAAAAATTGAAAGCTATGGTCACCCACGATAACTATAGCTATTAATTTTTGTGTTGTCTAGTGTGTCCTTCTATCTTTCTACATATTTGACCTATGCCGACCAGTGAGCCAATGTCAATTTTGAAAAGATTTCCAGCTCGATGTCATGTCTAGTATACTTACATGTAAAAGAATTGACGTACTCTGAAGCAGCTTGTCTAGCCTCAGCAGTGCCACTTCTCTCATACAAGCCGGTCTGCCTGTACGGAGGCAGGAGACTGTATGCAGTGTCATTGAACACAAACACAGTTAAAGCCTGAGCGCTGGTAAAAGTTCCCTGCAACTGTGCTTCTAGAATGATGGCCTTGAACTGAGAAATGCACAATGATTAGTAAAAAAAAATGCAACACATGAATACACCTGAAGGAAATCTGTAACACACATATAAATATCTACCTTCTTTTGTAAGAACATATTCTTCAAATATATCTGGAACTGAAAAGATTAAAACTCTACATACCCCAGCTATAACCTGAGTTGCAGAACAGGATACCTCTGATTAAATTACTACCTTAAAGTCACATCCTAGATAATGTGCTCTAAATACATGAATAACAGCTTTCAACACATTCAATATCTCCACATTTTACAAAGAACATCATCAAAACACTGCCGTATTTGCTTAGAAACTGTATTTTTCTCTTTAGGTTTGTTTTCAATTATTTGTAAATTCAAAAGTTAAAAAAATAGACCCAGAAATATAGAAATATATATAGAAAATAATTTGCATTATAAAGGTTATGTCAATTAATCCATGTTTTAAATTCCCCAGGGTTAACCAAAATCTCATCATGTGACATGACCTAAAGATCCGACAGAGTTTTGTCAAATTGATGTTTATTATTTTGCTGGGGTCAATCAACCAGTTGCCGTCTCTACAGTGAAGATTGGCTGTAATGGATTTCCAAGAATTTTCACAACAAACATACAACAGTGATTAAACATTTTCAATATCTAATCTACAAATTATCATCTGATAGAAGATGTGACACAGTGATTTAAAAACAAACTATTAGTATAACCAAAAATTATTTTTCAAAAATCAGCAATATCATTTTTTGTTTTACTGATACTGATGTTGTGTGTACAAACATGTACAGTGTCATGTTACTGTTGAGAACTGAAAGCCAAAACCAGGATAAGAAAGCTACTTATCAGAGTCACACTTGACACGCAGCTCAGCCTCAAGAACCATATTGAAAACATCAGGAATAAGGCATTGAGGCGGTTACAGTTATTAAAGAGACTTGCAGGTACATCATGGGGATCAGACAAGGAAACTCTGAGGGGCTTATACCTAGGATATGTTCGCTCTGTGATAGAGTACAACAACTCACTGCTTACAACTTGTTCCAAAACTAACCTAGAGACTCTTGACAGAGTACAAAATAATGCCCTCCGATTAATCTGCGGAGCTATGCAGTCTACACCAACTGCTGCATGTGAAATCCATACAAATGTGGAACCCCTCGGGTTGCGGAGAGAAAAAGCCACTTTAGAAATTTATGAAAGATGCGTTAGGAAAAATCGTAACCATCCTAATAGACATCTTGTAGAAAACTGGGAATCCAAACAAAGAATAAAGCACAAATCGGTTTTACACTGTGTTAATGAAATTCAGGACAGATACCACCTCCCAGAAAGACGTCAAGGAATTCAGAATGTTGCAAAAAACCTACCACCACATGCTCGCTTTAAAGCTCCAGAAGTCCAAACTAAATTGGTAGGCGAGGAAACCAAACAGTCCGACCCAATCGCTCTTATGAACTCATCACTAAAGACCGTTGATTCTTACCCCCAAGAATGGATACATGTCTATACTGATGGATCAGCATTTAAAGCTACCATTAAAGCAGGTTACGGAATCTACATAGGTTATCCCGATGGATCTGTTGAAGAGATTTTTGATGCATGCGGGGAATTCTGTTCAAACTATGAAGCTGAAATTATTGCACTGGAAACAGCAGTATACCACCTAAAGACTGTAATGGATGTTTACCCCTCAAAGGTCCAAAATATTGTCATCTTCACAGATTCAATGTCTGCCCTTCAAGCTCTGGAGGGCAATGAACGCTGCAGAACTGACATAGCCAAGATAATCCTGGATGCCGATCAGCTTATTACCTCATACAACATCAGAATAGTGATGCAGTGGATTCCAGGTCACTCCGGCACACCAGGTAATGACAGAGCTGACAGATTGGCAAAGAAAGGAGCAACACAAGAACAACCACCTACAGCGACAACCCTCCAGACAGCAAAAACACTGATAAGAGCTATAAACAAAGAGACTTGGTTGAACAGATGGGCCATGGGAGACACTGGAAGAGAGGTTTATAGACATATGTCTGGCCCTGATCCTAATGACAGCATTAACCATCTAACAAGAAGGACCAGGCCACCATCTTCAGACTTAGAACGCAACATACTCCACTCAATGGACACCTAAACAGAATACAGCCACAACACTCCCCAGAGTGCCAGCTATGTAACTACCCCTACGAAACTGTTGAACACCATCTCTTTGAGTGCCCAAAACTCAGTGAGACAAGAAGAACGCTACTCCCTCCGAGACCAGACAAGTGGAACACCTTGTACGGAGGAAAAGAACAGCTTGTGAAAACATGCAAATTCCACTACATGGCATTGGGCCAAAGGGCGAAAGCTCATGCGCCGCTGGATCGATAACAACAACAACAACAACTTATCAGAGAGCTGCTGTTTGCAGATGATGCACCAATTACAGCCCACTTAGAAGAGGAGCTGCAATGTTTACTAGATACATTTGCTGATGCATGCTGTGAATTTGGACTAACAGTCAGCAAAAAATCTAGAATACAATGCCCTTCAACATCTGCTAAAGTCAAAGTGTCTGTCTTGCAACACCAAGATCAAAATATAAAAAACGATAAGACCAGTCCTTTTATATGGCTTGGAAACTTGAAGCACAACTAAAAAGAGATGAAGCCTTATTACATGTTTTCGAAAACAGAGTCTTGCAGTGAATCTTTGGACCCATCAAAGATGCAAACAGTGGTGAATGGAGAGTGAGAAGTAACAGCGAAATTCATAATCTGTTTAAATCACCACTGATCACTGGCATCATGAAAGCTAATAGACTGAAATGGTTGGGGCATACTAAAAGAATGTCTGATGACAGAGAAGTAAAAACTGTATAGACCAGGGAGATGAATGGTCGTAGACTTTGAGGCAGACCAAGAAGACTATAGAGAGATAATATCCAGACAGAACTGCAAACACTTGGTGTCACCAACTGAAAAGAGAAGGCCACCCAGATAGATGAATGGAGGCGGGTGATATCTGCAGCAATGAACCTCAGGGACTAGGAATGCTGAAGAAGAAGTCAGCAAAAAATGGACAAAGATTATGATGCAAGGTTTTAATGATGGACCTGAAGTCTACATTGACGGTGAAGAGGGGAGACAGTTGACCATTTGACATATCTTGGATCCGCAGTGAATAATAAACTATCTCTGGACCAAGAAGGCTGGGTCACACCCTGGAGAATAGAGGATGGCAGAGTACCCAAGGACATCATCTATGGTGAATTACAGATGGATAGAAGATACTGAGGCCAGCAACTACTATGATACAAAGATGTGTGTAAATGTGACATAAATAATACAGGTATTGAGGTAGATTTGTGAAAAATGCAATGGACTGTGTTGCATGAAAGAGGCAAATCAAGAAAGGAATGAGAATGAAGGAAAAATAACTTCAGAAAGGATGGGAGTTGAGCATCTGAGAAGCAACATACTAAATAAACACTATTGCAACACTAATCCTGAAATCACATGCTATCACTGTGGAAGACTTTTCTTGACATGGGCGGGTCTTGCTAGTCACACTCGCCATCAACATGGGCTGTGAGTCCCATGCCTCCTCATAGCACAATATAACATTATCGTCCAGAAAGAATAAAAGGTGCCAACAGCAACTGTTCGAAACTTAAAGCTTGCCACTCTGCTCGAAGCATCCCTGTCTTTACCTTTCTTAGCATGCTTTCAGGGTCTGTTACAATTGTGACATGTGTATGCATCTTGTTCCCTTGAATAAACTTAGTTGAATAGCCTATAACAAGGCTATTCAACTAATTTTACTCAAAAGTCACAATTGTGAAAATGGAAATTGTCACGGGCCAGATGCCCAGGTCCCAGCACAGAAATATCATTAATACAGCTGGCAATGATCCATGGGCCACTTGCTAGGGCCTCCACGAACCAGATTTGGCCTGCTGGCCACCAGTTGAATAGCCCTGTTAATGTTGTATTACTTGAAGTAAGTAAATTTAACCCGACCAGGTCATCCACCAAGCGATACCCGGCAACACAAAGTGCCACCATATGGATGAGGTTCATCCGTGGAGAGTCCCAGAAACCCTGTTTAACCGTTAGTGATAGGTTATATTAGGGCCCCCAGGATGGGGCTTCGAAACAACGAAAAATTGCATCCCGCAAGGGAACTATGATTGTTACCATGCTTAACATGTTTATCCATGCTTTTCATCGTATTTCTCTGCCCTTTTTTTTTAATGTTTGTTGACACGAGAATGGAAGACATGTTATAAATATATATATATATATATATATATATATATATATATATATATATATATATATATATATATATATATATAAAATATTATTATTAATATACATTGAATAGTTCTGATTATGTGGAAATATTCAGAATACATAACTACTTATTAATAACTATAAGTATTAACTAATAATATATATTAATAAATTTAACAATCCTAACTTAAACTACTTTACTCTTGAAGTTTTAGTAAAGGAACAGCTTTAAGCTTAAAGGGTAAATTCATTTCTTCAAAAATATTTTATATGATAAACGTTGTTGTGAACTAACGAGAGTAGCTGCTGTCTTGTGTTGTGAAGGCGAGTGCGGAAGTGAATGGTAAAGTAAAAGACAAAACAATGCAAAGCTAGCGTGTGTTTTAAGTTATATTGTAACTTTCACAACAGTATACTATATAACAATGTTTTTACCTGTGAACAGCCTAAACCATCCAAAGATTCGAAGGCATTATTTCCAACAGAGATTGACTGTCCGTTAGAATAAGAAATCAGGGTTGTCACCAACAGAAGCAGGCACATATAAGGTGTCGCCATGTTCCGTTTAGTGTAAGAGTCAGGTAGCGAGGTTACTGATTGGTCTGATCCGTGTATGTACACAGGGGCAATAACACAGGTATTTACACCTGGTCTCGGTGACACCTGAGATGACCTAGTTTTTGCCAGGGGGTGTCAAATGTAGATACAAAGACGGTATATGTAGTTCCAACGCAAATACAGACTCTGGAATTTTCAAATGCCATGTCCATGCGCGCTGCCACGAAGAAAATTAAAACACGGAAGGCTCAAGCAAGGATGCCTGTATCTCCTTAAGCTGGCCATGGCTCAGCCTCGACCTCCTCACCAATTTACACATTTCCTCGGCAAAAAAATGAGGTATTGAGGGAAGGGATGGGGTGCTCAGGTCCTTGAGTGCCCCCACACAAAAGACAAGGGGTGGGTTTGAACCCTTCACTACACAATAATTTTTTAAGGCTGCTTAGATGCCCTGTATACAAATTATCTTTTAAAATATGTGTGTCTACACATTTCTAAGAAAAGATATAAAACCGAACGGAGAGTATATAAGCAAGCTTTACAATATAACAAATACAAACAAAACGTGAACGTTGCGGCTATTGAGCCTTCATCGGCACATACAAATGAAACAATACTACACAGAAACACAAAATCACTTAGCCGGTATCTCGAGGCAGCCGGGTCGGTTGTTTCTCAGCATTTCTAATTACTCCACATATTTTAATTCATTTATTTGCCCTTCAGCGCATTATTATTAGGGCTGTACCGAATATTCGCTTCGTATTCGCTTCGGGGCCGAATAGTGGACCTGATAACTATTCGGTAATCGGCCGAATAGTTGCGGTCGGGCCGAATACGAATAGTGGTTACCTTACACCCGTTTCTGGACTGGTGGCAAATAAACATATGAAGATTTCCCACCTTGGTTCAAACTGTCAAGCGTTATCTTTGTGCACAACCTATGAGCGCACCAAGTGAACGTCTGTTTAGTACAGCTAGAAATACCTACAGTGAGACAAAAAGCTGCCTTAATGCTGACAACATGAATTGAAAGCGAATGCCGCTTTCATTGATTAACTAAACTGTCAGTGACAATTTACAAGTTTATTTACTTGTTATAAAACTAAGAATACTTTCATTCCTAGGTATTAGTTACCACAGACTGACTGACTGAAGGATGCAAATCATTAAATGTTTTTGAATGTTTACTATTCTGTACTACATTTTTAAAATTTCAGCGTACATGTAACATTATAAATGTGTTTTTTTAGACCTATTTTATACACGAAAGTGGAAAAATGGGCCTCAGTTTGAATAGTGGGAAGACAGAAGTAATGGTGGTATCAAAGAAAATAATTATTCCTAAATGTGTAATAAAAGTCAATGGTTTTATTTTGGGACACGTACAGAAATATATGTATTTGGGCACATGGATAATATCAGATGGAAGATTCATTACTGAAATAAGAAACAGAATAGGACAGGCAAAAACTGAATTTTATAAAATGAAGAACAACGTATGCAATATATCTTTGTCATTAAAGGTTAGAAAAATAATCCTTGCTTGCTACCACGCCCTTCTTTAATTATATAAAAATCTGGAGCTGGCCGTGCTTGCTACATACACCCAGTTTTAACATATGGTTGTAAGTCCTGGACAATCGGCAGGCAGGCAAAACAATTTCTTGAGGCCTCAGAGATGTGGTTTTACAGAACAATGCTTAAAATACCTTGGACAGCCCACACACACACACACACAAAAAAAAACAAGCAACCAAGAGGTTTGGACAGAGGCGGGAGCCCGAAGACAACTACTCACAGACATCAGAAGGAGACAGTCATCATTTTTCGGCCATGTTATAAGATGAGGGAAAATGGAACTGAAACGATATGTGGAATGAGGGATAGAGGAAGACAACGAGAAAAGATGCTTGACAGTCTTGTTGCATGGCACGGAGGTGTGTCAGCACCCGAACTAATTCATGCTGCAGGAGATCGCATTTTGTGGCAAAGTTTAATCGCCCGCGCCAGTCGGCACATCACCTGATGATAATGATTCACTATTCGTATTCGGCCGAATAGTTGGTCCAGCTATTCGTATTCTGCCGACTAGTGAAAATCACTATTTGGTACAGCCCTAATTATTATTATTATTATTATTATTATTATTATTATTATTATTATTATTATTATTATTGCTATTATTATTAATACGCTGAATGGCAAATAAGTGTAATAAAATACTTGAAATAATACAAAATGTAGGCTAAAAACAAATAATACAAACGAATGTTTTTAAAGAAACCTCTAACATGGTTAAAGGAGTTCTGTTAGTACGCCTACACAATTATTTGGAGGCGCTCGTAAAAAATGGGGAAGGGGAAGGCTAAGGGACCTGAGCTGCTAGGTTTCGGCACCTATGGTCATGTCGTATGCGGAGGTAACGGTGATTAGTACTCTATACGACACACACACACACACACATACACACACACACATCGTGATTGTAACTGATTCAGAAAGCATGCCGAGGAAGATCAGAACAGGTATGCTTCGTGCAGAGTAGTATGCTTCGCTGCGGAGGACACGAGTGAGAATTTTTTCACCGGGTCACACTGGTGTGTTGTGAAATAAATAGGCGGACAGACTGGCTGGCTCTGCACAACTTGGTGGAATACTGATACATGATAAGGCAGACATGGTTAGTGCCTTGTGGGAGAGCGTGTACAATTCGGAGGAGCAGATGGATCACCAGTCTGGTGAGATTGATGCAGTTGGGGGTGACGAGAGGTTCTGGCAGATGCTCGACGCTCAGAGGAAAGGCAAGACGGATGTTTAATCAGAATGCTACTGGCACAATTGGTATCGGAACTCTTCGCTGGCTGCTGAAGATGGGAACGGAGTGCTTATGAGAATGACCCGAGTGCTGTGATGTCGGTTCTTGAATCAAATCAAATCAAATCATTAACCACACACTTTCCAACCAACTAGTAAATATAACTGATTACGGAACGGCAGTTATATTATGTTCTGGTTAAGTATGATCAATTGGGAAAGTAATTAGGTAAGCTATGTGTTAGATGCATATGTTGCTTAGGTATTGGGAAGGCGCTTCGTTATTCTAAAATACCCGCTTTGATTCTAACTGCAGCTGATTCGATAGCAGGCCGATTTGCTTTGTTTTAGACAATGGTGTGGGGCGCCGACCGCTATAAAGCAGTGGCTACATAAAAATTGCCTAATAAAACTATAAAGAGCCAAAATTGGCTGTGTTTGATTCCGCAGCGTCATGTAAGATGTATGCAGTAGGCCTGCTGACACCTGTTCAAGCATGTATTTTTATTTTTTTATTTTAGCGCTACTATAATAGTCACTTTGTTATGACTATCTGAATCTTTTTTAGGTACATTTTTGGTGAGTACTAAACACCTTTTTTTTTTTTTAAACAAATAAAATTTTTTGGGCGCCAAGCAGGGCCGGGTTCAGACTTGGTGGGGCCCTAAGTAATATAACACCCTGTCGCCCCTACCGTTTTGAATAACATAACTTAATGTCAGAAAATTGTTAAATATATAAGTTACATAAAAAATGGAAGTTGGCGCATTTCACGCAGATAATTTACCTGAACATAAATGGGTTATAACAAGTAAGAATAAATACAAGCTTGAGATAATACACACTGACAGATATAAGGGTAAGTCAATAAGTAAGTCACAAATAGTTGTTTGAATAAAAAATGAAAATGAGAACAACTTGAAAACCGTTTATTTTTACACACACAGTGCGTTTATTTTTCAACATAATGTCCACCAACATTGATGCACTTGTCCCATCGTTTTATTAGTCCTCTCAACCCTGCTGCACAGAACTGTGTGCTCTGTTTTCTAAACCACATTTTCACTTCACATTCAACTTCTGCGTTTTTTTTCCAGAGATGGCACAGACATTCCTTACTCTTCCATATATGGATTTTATTCCTAGTAAAAAAATTGCTAGACCATGCCACACAAGTCTCTGTGGCTGTTTATGTGCAACAGATTTTCCATTAACTGAGTATGTGAATCTACATAAATTACCTATTGCGATGGAAAACGTGATGCACATCGACAGCCACCCTAGCTCCTTTAAGAATTATTGGGTGCACGGAGTGCTTAGCCTTCCTTCCGCCAACCTCTTAATTTTCTTTTTTTTTTTGGGTGTGGGTGGTATTCAAAGGCATTAATCCCCCTCCCCTCCCCATCCCCACAATCCCACCAGGAAATAATTGCACAAAAAATGTTAAGGTGTGAGGAGGGTGTAGTGGGGGGGGGGAGGGGGTAGGGGGGTTCTTTAAGGGGGCTTCAGTCCAACTCTTCCTCCCCTCCCCCATTTTCGCCCAGAAAACGTATAAGGCGGGGGAGGGGGTTAGTGTGTGGGGCCTTGAGCTGAGCCCACCAAATGTATTCTCCTTGGCGGCGCGCTTGACTTGCTGTCCTCTTTGGGTAGGTACTAATAAAAGCGCCAGGGTCAATGTTGACAACCTCACCCACTGAGACGATTGAGCTATTTAAAATCCGCCTCACCACCCCCGTACCCCCTGCTCCTTTCCACAGCACGGTACGCCCTGCAGCAATAGCATAAAAAGATGTGCTTTACTTAATATGACTGCGATATGCTAGCAGACACGGATGTTGATGCAAAAGCACGTGATGAGTCAGCAATATCTCTTGAGCCCTGACAAAAATAGATTATATCAAGAGTAGCCATTGTAAAAACCGTTAAATCAGGTTTCTTGAAACTTTCAGTGTCGCACAAAACAATATGGCGACACTTTATCTGGGCCTGCTTTTGCTGGTGACAATTCTCTTTTCTTTGTCCAACGGACAGTCAATCGCTATTGGAAATAATGCCTTCGAATCCTTGGATGGTTTAGGCTGTTCACAGGTAAATTATATAAATAAATTTTAAAAAAATGTGTAATGGCGATTCTTTTTTTTTTCCCCTTAGTGAAAGTAAAAGTAAGTAACAGGACACTGTTT